CCTATATTTCATATCAGAATTAGGAAAGGCTTAAAAATCACTCATTACAAGTTAGAGCGGTGTTAAATGCAAGAGGAACTTAGATAACACGGCCGGCACCTTATTTAAAATCCACCATAAAACACTAGAGAATAAAGTTCAGGTTATAATGCTGAAGTAAAATTTTATCCATTTTTATTCCCTATTTATTGCCATATCTAATTTATAAATAAATTAGGTCCACACACAGCTGCTTGTGTCCTCCTAAATCAGAATATCTGACCTAAATGTGGCATAGATCTCACAGGTATCTCTAAGTGGATCTAAGTCATTACCTAAGTGCAGGTTCCCTGAATTCACTATGGGCATTGATGGTTAAGATCTCGTGGTGCCTATCACTCAGCATAATTTGGAATCCAGAAATTCAATGCAATTCAACAGATAACCTTGAGCATCAGTGTGTACACAGTATAGGGAAATGGAATTCAAAGGTCGAAATTAAGTTTCAGGCAAGTAAGTGACTGCTTATAAACCATCATTTTAAAAGTTTAAGGACTGTTTCTTTCATCTAGAAAGTATAATCCTATTTCAAATTTCTTTACAATGTACATTTTGGGAAAGATAATACATGGATTTTGTTTCTCCCCGAGGTTGCAAAAGTCCAGTGTCAAATCCCTTCCAATTTCAGGTTTTGCCACTTTGAATGATCAATAATAAACCTGGCAGTACTTGTTAGGGGTCAACAGAGATATAAAGGAAAGGAAGATGATTGTTGAATAGCCAGACAGATGCCTGGAAGAAAATTTGCCTAATCCTCAATTTGCCTTGGGACTGGTATTGTTTTTTTTTTTTTTTTTTTTTTTTTTTTTTACTGTGAAAAGTTATTCAAACTTCAAATTTATTTATAGCCTTTCAAAATCACACAACAGAAGATCTTCATTTATGCAGTCAGTCAGTCATCTATGGTATGTTTGGATGATGAAAATCTAGGATAACTCAGGCCATACAAACTCTACCTCTTGCTTTCTCTATTAGAATACACATATTGGAAATCTAAGTTCATAATGGTTCCTCAATTGAAGATAATGAAATTTAGTGCCAGCCACCTAGCTACAGTTTTTGAATGTTTACAGAAGGTTGAGCCTTGATGGCTGAAGAAACTTCTATTTAAAAGACATGATTATATTTTTAAAAACCTAAATTGACTCAGTTTATTTTCAAAGTAAGAATTGATCCATGTTTTCAGTTTATTGCCATACAGAAAACATTTTATAAAATAATATGGTAGACTTCAACATCTTCATGTAAAAACTTCACAGTGCAAGAAAGTGATCACTATTAAGTATGAAGACATCAAAATCCAGCCAGTATTTTAAGTATAGGGCAGAATATTTTTGCTATCCCTTCCTAAAAAACATTGGCACATTCATTAAACTGCCCAGGTTATAAAAATCACTTAGTATCCACTTCTGTCCTTCAGTATATTTTTACAACTAAACTGCATCACATTAATGCTGGTGGACAAAACAGCTCAGGTAGAATCTAAAAACCTTTCAGATAGCACAATGATTTAAAACCAACTAGGAGCAAGCTCTCCAAGAATACTTTTGTATGTAATTTTCGGTCCATTACCACAGTAACGGACTAAGAAGCTGTTATGCCTTAAAAAGAAAGCTAAAGGAAAATAATTTCACTTTTCCTTTAAAACACCATTTCTTTGCTCTTAAAGAGGGAAAAGCTTTAATTTTCTTCAGAAGGGAAGAATATTTCATAAGTAAAAACATCAAGTTTATGTTAGTTGGACAAATGTCTCACTTAAGAAAGAGTGGACATTTAGATTCAAAGGATTCTAAAATACTTCATCATCGACAAGAAAAGTATCATTTAAAGCTAAAAAATGATCACACATTGAACTACTATAAATCACCCATTAACATATGCTATTGTCTTTCACAAAATCCATCATTAAGGAACAGTAGGTTGGATAAGATATCTTTTTTTTCCCCCCCAACACTGGGTCTCATTAGCCAAGAAGCCCTGAGCAGACAACACATCCTCTGAGGCTCAGGACACTGGACATGAGGGACTGCTCTACCTGCCCTTCCATACCCCTTCCAATCTATAAACTTATATGGCATTGTTAATCTCACAAAATCCTTCCAAGAATGAGGTGTTTCAACTCAATGTATTTTCCAGAGAAATAAAACTCCCCCATGTAAGTGGCGAAGCTGTTCTTTGAACATTTGCATTTTTACTGACTTTAAAATTTATTTCCAATGTAATTCCCTGTCACCTGAAGATGAGGTGTGCCTAAAAACATAGTCTCTAAACTTCATAGTCTCCCAGACGTGCCGGCTGATGACGTGATCCGCAGATACAGCTTAGGCTCCGGCTCCAATTCTGAGCAACATTCTCAGTGAAAAACGGTGACACCACCCACTCTGTATCGCTTTGTTTTGAAGACCAATAGAGTTGTCATATGTCAAAGTATTTGGAAACTACAAATCACAATATGAATATGCAAAGGATTGCTGTGATAAACCCAAGCTGACTTGTCCGTGATAGTAAGATCTGGATATTTTTAGGAGACATATGTTCTTTGTCAAGATTTGTGTACTTATGATTCTAACCCCTTGGCCGCCTGTAGTCACTGTGTTCTGCTGCTGCTAATTGCACCAGGCCCGAGATTCAGCTCGCTTCTCCTACAGTCTAGGAATATGACCTTTAAATAGGTGGAAACTGAAACCTAAAGATCACTCTGTTACTTTAGCAAATGTTATGTCATACTATTCATGTTAAAAGAGTGGTTCCCTAACCAGGCTAGGTTTTCAACTCATCTAGGAAGTGTTTTAAAAATTGAGATTCCTGTCCCTAGAGATTCTGACTCAGTGTGTCTGGAGTAGGACCACGAAAAACTCTATTTTTCAAAAGTTTCCCAGGTAATCTCAGTAATCAATTATTTTTTGGGATCCACTGCTTTGCCCCGATTTTCTTCTCTATTTTAGTAGTTGCTAGTTTGTTTGCTTGTTTTTAATATAAAAATGTCATCTTGCCTTAATCACAAACACATTCAAAATAGACGCCCTGTGATCTTGGCTTAGATCCATAGGAGCTACAGATCACATTCTTTACAAATAAAATTTTAAAATGATAATATTAAGAGCTAAGAACATGCATGTAGAGGTGGCTGGTTCTATATACAGGGTGACGTTTTCTGCTTTACTGGCAGTCGATAAATGAAGCTCTGGTACACACAAAGACCACCCTGTTACAGTGGTCACTGCCACATAAAGGATGGCAGAATTCCTCCAAATAACAAAAAGATAGCTAACCAGCTAATCCATATTATTTAGAAAACGTTTCTAGCAGACATAAGTGAAGTATTTCTTAAAAAAACTACACAGTTTTCTGTAAAAATCCAAAGACTTCCACGCTTCTGAAGTCTACCATAAAGAGGAAAGTTGACCAAAACTACCATAGTTTAAAAATATGTTCAATTACTGGAAAATATAAGTGTAAAATAGGTACAATTTCGTCCTTCAGTTCAGGTGGTTTAACAGGTACAAATGGAATTCATTTCCATTTATTCTACCCCACATAGTAACTGTGAAAATGACACATGAAGTATTTGGTATAATGTGTTCTGAACCCATCCTTCAAATTGAATACGAAAACCACATTTGGGTTTCCCAGGTGTCCCATGCATATCTAGCACTGCGGAATGTCGTCATTGTCTTTTGGTTCCTGCTGGGGATGCCCCAGTCGTCACGCCTCGTGGTTGGTGTTGTAATGCTTCCAGGCGGCTTGTTGTACACGGAGTCTTTTCATGGATTCTGTTGACAGAGCCTGGGGAAAAAAAGAAAAGAAAGGAAAAATCAGGACTTTATGTCTGGCATTTTTAAGAATTCATTATTTGAGAAAACAGAAATGGCAAAAAGGTTACTGTAAATTAAACAATACCGATACCTTATAATCATAACCTAAATACACTCTTAAATAGGTATATTTGAAATGTGCTAGTTACTAATCTATGGCACTGATTAATGTGCATGCTGATTGAGTTTGTTGCATGCAGTAATTCCCCAGCCATCCTGGAAGCTGCTGGATTGAAATTTTACACAAAGCACATGACCCAGACCAGAAGTTGGCTAACTGAAAACTGTTAAATATAAAAGCATAAAAAAATTGACATATATACCTAATATGTGTACATACATTCAATGAAATCTATTTTAATTATTTATTAGAAGAAATACTATTTATTTCAGCATAGTTACTATACTCTTAAAAATTATTATCAATAAATATAAAACATAAATATATAAGGCACTTTGGCTTTAGTATAAATAATTCTTGGCCTGGTTGATCCTGTGTCTTCTCCTCCTGTCTCCAATTTCAGTCACAGTACATGTGATTTCTATATCAACACATGATTCATGTTTACAATATACATTACCATTAGTCCACTTTCGATTTCAGCTTCCTGCAAATCACTGGAACCTGGGTAAAACTACATTTAGGATTTTCAATAGAATTTCAACCTCAGGCCATATATTGAACCAGAAATTTCAGTCTGATAATGTTAAGTAAAGTCTTTGATGTGATATTTTAATGATTCTTTAAGACTTCTTGACTTCTATTTTTTCTAAAATGAAACTAAAAACCTTTTACCTATATATATTCTCTTTAAATATCCCAGGATTTCTTGATCCATAGGCTGGATCAAAGACGTTAATTTGGTGATAAAATTTTGCACTGATATTGCCCTTTTTAAGTTCCTCTCAAGTGACATGGTTAAAGAAACTATTATCTAGAAAGAATTTAACCTTTTCAGATAAATTCTATTTCTCCCATATAAATTTCAGTATTTCCTATAAAATAGCGCCATCTAGTGGCCAGAATAAGAAACTAGCATCACTAATAATTATGCACCAACAGCCCACCCTTAACCAACCAAGAGGACTGATGGGGCCCAGTGCTTCTGCCATCTGTAAATATATACTGACCC